TTCTCACGATCTGTGTGCTGCTCTCTGGAGTGGAGACCACAGTTCCCAATGTCGTTGCATTAACAGGTAGATGCATTACAATCCACATTGAAGTCAGTGGATGATTCGCTGAATTAGTAATTTGGTGGTTTGTTTCTGTATTTCTGTCGGTAATGATTTGCTCTCGGTCTTTTAAAAGTAATAACAACAAAATATCCACGGTCTTAGAATTAGAATGTCTAATCAAACTATTGTACCCGATCAGATCTAATATAAATAACACAAAATTCGCTGTTGTTGGCCCACTTTGTAGACAAAAAAATAAATAAATGCCTTCGCAAAAAAGAAGACGGAGACCGAAGAGCGAAGCGAGGCTGCTAAAGGCAGTTCCATTTTTTACTTATGTGGTCCTCAAGATAAGTTAAAAGAAAACAGAAGAACAATGAAAGTAACTATCCTATCCTATCCAAATTAAACTATTCCTATCATTTTAAATGATCAGAATGTATCTATGACAAAGGGTTCTAAAAATAATGCTTCATATAATAAAAGTGTTCCCATGGCTCAGTTTGCCCCGGGTTAGGGGTAAGATGACCCGAGTCGAGTCAGTGGGTAAGAGGCACCGTCTGGGTGTAAAATGACCATCTGACCAAATCTGATTCAAACCCATGATAAATAAATAATTATTTAAAAACCTGATTATAATGCGATGAAAAGCATTTTCTGGTTCTTATCAGAGAAGGATTTGGTGCACTTGTACACTGTCCCTGTCAAATAAACTACAAAATATGTATATATGATAATCTAAACCAGTAATATCACATTAAAACACCAGTTTATAATTCAGAGATTTAACTTAACTACAGTGCCTTATGGTGGGGTAAGTTAAAATGCTGACTCAATTGGCCCCACAACATTTGGCTCACTTTGCCTCATAGCTGCCATTTTGGAAAAAATAGCTACTGTAGCTAACCAGTTCAGGCTAATATTTAGCTAAATTATTTGCATGGTTTTATATGTTGCCAAATCACCTATATGTATCATAAATACAATAAAACCTGGATACATTTGCTTTGATGTAACAACCATTACATCTGTTATGCTAAAATTTTACTTTGACAAGCCAAAAACAGTTTTTCAAGTAAATGGGTGCCTTCCATCCCCCCCCCAGTAAAAGTGTACAGTTGCCAAGAAAAGGGGGGGGTGTTCCACTTACCCACTGGCTCAACTTACCCCCCTCTCCCCTACTTCCATTGAAGATGCAGAAGCAGGCTCAGAGTGTGAGGGAGAGCCCATTCTTATCAAAACATCTACAATAAAGTCTGAAATTATTACAGTGTGTGCTGTCTTCTCGTTTAATTGTATATTTGTAACAACTGGATAATTTGTATTAACAAGCACCCACCCCCCTAGTGCCCCTTTTTTGGTTTGGGCCACTGCCCCTCAAAATGTCTGTGCAGGGCCCTGCTGAGGAGGGGATACTCTTTGAATAAAATGTAGTGCATACTAGTGCACTAGACTAGTAGTAAATACTACTATTGAAGTAATACTAGATGTGTGAGGTCATAATATTACACACAAATGTCCATGGATATTCTGCTTTCAGCCATTAAGTGTATTAAAATGAAATCTTCCTAAACGGTTCTCTGAATCTAAACATACTGATTAAACTCTCGTAGGTTAATAACTTCATATAATGAAAAATTATATAAATGCCATTTATGGTTTAATAGTTGTCAATTGTATCTGACAATGTATAGGTATACAAACACAGAAGTAGATATCTAAATAACTAGATATATTCGATCAAACTCAGCGCAGTAGAAAATCCCATAGTGTCCGTTATGCACGTGAGCATCCGCGACGCTCAGTTATTGAACCGGACTAACGTACGAATTATCATTAACGACTGAACTGCTCAGTCCAACTTACCTGAAATAACGGAAGAAACAGTGAGAGAAAACAGTGACTTAACAAAAACGGCAAAAACCCCAAACTGAGCGGCAATAAATTTCGGATAAACATTCCTCTTCTGTCTCTTCACAGTACACCTGGCGAGGACGCGAGTCTGAGGCGCATAAAAGTCATTTATTATCCGCTTCTCAAGGCTTACCAACGATGTTTTCCCCGTGTTTGAGCAGATATGGTTTCTGAAACATTCTCGTCCAATTAAAGCAACAATAATTGGTGACATGGAAGGATTTGAAGCGACATGGGAAGGACGCTAGCGCTGTTTCTGAGGAAAGTTGTTAATCCTCCGCGCGCTGCCGCGGCGCGTGCCGTATCCACCACACAAGAGTTGCAAGCAAAGTTCTGTCCGTGCGCGTTTCTATGTGAGTCGAGCGCTGAACCAGGATTCATTTCTTGCCAGGCATGATGAGATGATGTCAGTTTACGACGCAGAAGTTACTGACACAAAACGCCACGGAGAACCCACGCTGACTCGCTTGGACGCCGGTGCTCAAGTAGGTCCCAAAACTGTAGACTGGGGATTCACCTCTTCATTACTTGTACAGCACCACCTGACGTGAAGGCGTCCAGTGAGAGACGCGCGCAAAGATAACGCACTATTATTAATGTGCTAGCCATTTACATCAGTGACGTAGTCACACGTTTTCTATCGCTTCCGGACTGAGATAAAGCGTTGTATTCAAAGAGGACTCTTTTAGGGTTACGTTTGGTTAGGTCACGGCGTTAGACAGTGAGCATGTATTCGGGGCGAGTTGGATGTACTCTGCAGAGTAGACACACACAGAGCACATGAGGCAGAGGGAGAGAGCCGAGGGGGAGGGGGGCAGTTTGCCATCCACAGCTTTTGTTTAGGTGGCAGGATTTTAATTCTTGCGTGGTAAATTAAAGGACGTTTTCTGTGGATATATTACCATCCAAATGAGATTTGATTAACAGCAGGAAAATATTTTTTAATTAAGAGACTTCAATAAATGATCAAAATACGTAGTTAGTCTAATTCTGAAATAGGACATGGAAGCCAAAATAAAGAAATTGTAACTGGCAGTAAAAGTGCTAAAGTACTGGAGCAAAGTGCAATAAAGTCTCGAACAGGAAGTGCAGGTGCCAGTCTATAAACACTTCTAGGTCAGTTAGGCTTGTGTCTGAATGATGATTGTTGGTTGATGGAACTAACGTGGGTATTATAATATCTAATTATTGAATGATAAAACATAATGCACTACTGCTTAGTCCAGTCTAAACCTGTGTGCTTTATGATTTAACATATTAAAAGTTTTTGTGTTTGAAGCATTAGATCATGCAGGCAACACAACATAGTATTTAATCACTTCTGTTTGTTTATATTTATATGTGCATTTTCATTTACATATGTCTATTTTCTGTTCTTTTGAAACTACAGAAATAAGACTATTGCTTAGTGGTTGTATACCTGGATGTCAATCACTTAGTTGGCATGACATCAAAAAAATAAATTAATAAATAAATCCCAAAAATGTATAATAAAATGTATCTCATATACAGTGGTGTGAAAAAATATATATATATATGGACAGTACTGTACATAGACAGTAAAGTACAGTATCTTTATATAAAACAGTATTGAACAGACAATGTGTCTATGTCTTGTAGACTTTTTCATTCATGAAAAATTAAATATGGCATCAACCCTGCATAAGATCCATATGCCTACTAAGTATTTAAACAGAAACGGAAAGGCATCACAAATGTAAATTTTTGTTATATATAGATAAATTATCAGAGAGATCTTTTTTGTAAACTGAAATATGATTTAAGTTTAATTCCTTCTCCCACCACTTCCTCTACCAAACTGCAGTGTGTGGTGACAGCTTACACTTTTGCACTAAAACCCCCTCCTTCTTCAGATTTAATTAGACTTAGAAGCCTCTGATGTGATCATCCTAAATGAGGTTGTTCCACTAAATCACCAAAGCAATAAATTCTACCCAGAATAAATTGAATCTTAATTTATAGGTCTTGTTTTATGGACTGAGTCAGAGTCTGCCAGCACCTCAGACACCATGTCTCCAATGTGTTGCTTCTGTTTAATTGCAGCGATCATTCATTGGCCCTTAAATATGAACCGACAGATATTTTGATTTATTCACTTGGTAAACACCACCAGAATTATTTAGTGCAGTTTTAACACACCTTTATCTAGCAATCTGAAAGTAATTACAGTAATTTAAAATATTATTTAGTCAATACTTTATAACAAAACCCACCTCCCTGTGTTTACTTTTCATAAAAGATCAGAAAACCAATGCAAAGCTATTAGAAATGCAGTCACCATACATGCGTTCTCCTGAGTGCTGGACAAATGTAGTCTATAGGAATCGATGTGAGTGCTTGGTTTTGGTGATAGGCTCTAGTCCAAGTTAATGCCATTTCATTAGTTGAGACATGGCGTACTGCAGAGTAGATTAGAAATAGGAAGAGGGATCGCCAATCAGGGAGGGCTGAATTCAGACAATAGCTGATCCTACAGCTTGATGCCAGGAAGTCCTGCTTGGTCTGCAGCAGTCCTCTCCCCTGCCTGCTGACCAACCCTAAAGGGTGCTGTAATCTTGTTAAAAAAAGAGATTGATGGCTATGTGTACATTAAGGTAGATCTGTCCGATTGTTCATCCTATTGAGTCCAGGCCATTAGGCCCGTGTTCAATCAAGATGAGCTCACGCTGCTTATTTTCCTTCCTCCCCGTCTTTTCGATTTGTGTTCCTTATCACCCGGACTTGAATTCTTTATGTATTATTCCTCACCTAAAGGAACCCCTAGTCTATTCTGGGCTTTTTTTTCTGTTGAAGATTGAATTGTGAATCCAGTTTGAATCAAACTGGCTGCAGTAGGTATTCTATTTGGCCGATTCAATAAGAATTGAAGGAGCTTTGCACCTTAACAACCCCATAGTTCTGTCTCGAGTTGGCGCCAGCTTCATGGCAATGAAGTAGTTTTGCAGACCACCTGAATGCTCTCAGTAGACGATATGTCAGTAGTCTTGGGAACGCCCCCACCCCGCCCCCACGGTGATACCGGTATTACCGGTGTTGTCACACGTCGATTAACCGGTGGGAAAATTTCCTCACCGTCACAAACCTAGTTTGTTCTGCATATATGAATTCGTACTTGCACTCAGATCCGCACCACATTACTCGGTGGGAGATTGCCTGAAGGAGGTGATCTCGACTCGACCCAATTGAAAACGAACTTGTTTGCTTGTGGCAAGTAAGCAGTCCAGCCCAAAAGATCAACAAACCAAGCTGTATCATAATTCATAATGGGAAAATACTTACTACTTCATCTTGTCATTGTTATTCTCCGAAACCAGGTGCATTGCAAGAATGATGTCCCAATAAAGCCATTTTGGTTGCCTTGGAGAAATGCATTAGTAACAGTCCCTGTTTCAGAACAAAACAAATGATCTACAGGTCTGAATGATATAATCTGGATTACAGCACTTTATACTTCAGTCATTTGTATCATCAAATGTTTGATGTTTTTATGTTAAAATCCATGTATAAGGATAAATAACATAGCGAGTAAAAGATTGTGGCCTTTAGATGAATCAAACAATAACAGCCTATATCTCTTACTCTTGTCTTTCAGATAAGACTTCCAAATCACTGCATTACTCTGTGTCAGCTCTAATAACATGTTGCAAAACATTTCTTTATGCTTGCATGGTCTCTCCATGATGTAATGCTCTATCGAAGCCTGTGGAGTGCACTTGGATATAATGCAGCTGAAGCACAGTGCCCAACCTTGCACGGGTCCTGGGGGGGTTGCATGGGTAGACTGTGTCCTGAGATGGAGGGAGCAGTGGTGATAGATGATGTTGTGACAGCCGTTCATTTCTTGCTGAGTTTTTTCCGCCCCAGGTCAAGGAGTGAAGTGCAGTGGAGTCAGCACAGCCATGGCGCTGTGATTTAAGGCCTGTGCTTCAACAGTAAATCGATCTGCGTGGAAGAGCCTGAGTGGCCAGCAGCAGAGAAGCAAATCCAGCAAGGTATCCCTCAGCTCCCAGGGAGCACATTGCACTTTCTGACAGGCGTAGTGCTGCCAAAAGCCTCTGCAAGCTCATGCAATCCCTAAAGTAAATCGCTACAGAGCATGTTTACAGAAATGTCTGTGCTGGGATATAATGGATAACAATTATTTGCTTTCCTGTGCAACATGTAACAATGCAACATTTAACACAGAGTCTTTTTTTTTTACTCAAGCTGTCAAGCATTTAAAATGGACAGTTAGCCAATCATTATTTGCTGTACCACCCGAGCCTTTTTAAAGACTTTTATGTCTTTTTAGAATAAATTGCTTTAAATACATTTTAAAATAAATAATATAAATATTATATACAATTTTTAAATAATATAAACTTTAAGTAAATGTAAAACAATTTATAATGTCTAATGTATTTATTTATTGTTTTAATCATTGTGAGCAGCATAATCATGCAATACCTGTACAGACAAGCAGTGTCACGCACCAAAAGAAGCACCATAAAATTAGTCAGTGCAACTTGTGTGCTATATAGAGTCAATACAACTTGTGCACTATACAGATTTATGGTGCTTTTGGTTGTATGAAATACTTTATGATCCTTTTAAGGTGCTTTTTGTTGTTTTTTTGTCCTTTGTGGATGTTCTGAGAGAGCTTCAGAGAGTAGTAGCCTACATTTTCATTAGGCTTATAACCACCTAATATTTGCTCTGTGATTAATGGTCTTTTAACTTTTTCATGAGCCAGTTCATCTCTCTTCTAACTGTCAAGGTAACTTTTAAATCTAAGCTGAGAACAGCTTTAAGTGCCATTGCTGAAGGATGCTTCACTCTCTACAGCGAAAGATAGCTAATGGCACTTTACAGATAACAGGACACAAGTCATCTGCAGCTTTTAGCATTAACATTATCATTAAGAGGTATTGCATCATATACGTCTTTACATTCACCTCCACTGATCTTTGCGTCATGTCTGACAACAGAATTTAAGTATTTTCTAAACATGGTGAAGTACTCATCTTGTAATTGTTATAAGTACTGCCCACGAATTAGATCTTACTGCACAAGCTGAAATAAACTGTAGGCGTTCTGAGTTGAACTGACATGAAAATTACAGAGCCGTTACATTTACACAGTAATGAAATGCCTGACTGGATCATTGACACCTCATGACTTAAACTAAAGCCATAACATAATGTTTGTACAGTGGTGTAAATGCAATTCTATAGGGTTTTTCCCTATGTCTGGTACAAAATCTATAATATCATGAAATTTATCTATATATGTGTTGCTTGCAAGCTCATATTGACTGGTCGTCGACTCGGAACTAGGTGATGTAATCATGGCATCTGCCAGCTTACTGAGCCATACTAAGCAAACAAACCTTGACCCCTCGGTCACAAAATTATTTCCTTGTCGAAATATGCAGCTGTAAAAGATCTGTAGGTTTTATATACGCTGTACTGGCACATTAGTCCATTTTGTCCTGGAACATTATACTATGACATTTTTGATTGTCTCAAAGATGGCTAATAATTAATTAATACTTTTATTAATTACATTACATTTTTCAAAAGTGACAGTAAAAGCATTTATAATGTTATAAAAAAAAATTCTATTTCAAATAAATGCCATTCTTTTGAGCTTTCTATTTTGATAATTCAGCTATGCCATCACAGGAATAAATTATATTTTTAATAAATATAAAAAATCGTGCTCACCTCAGACTTTTAAGCATTAGTACACATATTGTTGAAGCCATTTATAAGAAATGGTTGTTTATTCT